CCGGCATGGAATGCAGTCGAAGTGGGTATTTTTCTTCCCACCGTCCATCGGAGTCGGAATCGGCTACAGCATGGACACGAACAGCCGTGTTTCCTGCGCCGCTTGAGGATATTGGTTTGCCAGCCCTCATTCGTGCCGATAAGTGTGCTGTTCTATTCATCCACATGGAGGAACACGTCTGAAGGGGAGAAATTTATTGGATGGCTGCTGGGAAGGGGTGAAGACATCTAGGATCGATATGTGTTCTTGGCTGTGTGGGGGGGTCGGGCCGCAAGGATTAGGGATGAACTTGGCGGGGCGTTGGGCGTTTTTCAGTTGGGATGCTTGTCGAGCCGCCCCATCGATTTGCTAAAGGGAGAGATAGAGGATATTCCTAAAGCATTATTCAAGTTGGTCAGACAGCGGAGACGGACTGGACTGGCAACTCAACACTCAACTGCTGGCGCAGGAGAAGCCCGAACTTGTTGGGGCTGGGGCTGTTGCGGTCGGTGAGAGGCTCGGCGTATGCGCCTGAGACCTCATGTGGTTGCTGTTCGGAATGGCGGGAGAGAGAAATGATGAGAGAGGTCACGGTCGTGTGACACCCGATCTCGTGACCCCTCTCAGCACACGTCCTTCTCCTAGGCCTTCGATCTCGCATACAGTGATGGTGCCAGCTGCATACAGCGGTCCAGCCTAAGGCTTAAGGACCCACCAGCTCATCACCGCGGTCGGCTATCTGATCAACAATTTCAAGTATCGACAGACTGACGACAGTGGATTACATAATTGGAGGCGTTGTAGCCAATGACGTAAGCAAGGAGCGCAGACACCACAACCAATTTTTTTGGCCTTCCATCCATTTTAACTTGCTATTCAAACCTCAAACCAGACTTTTCTATGCCGACTCGATGGCTGCTTGTAGAACTCAAGAACCGCTACACCGGTGCTGAAACTCGAGTATGTTGGCGGGTTGTCGCTCTTACTGATTGCCCGACGCATCTTTGGCGTGGAGACTGGGCAGCATATACCGGGCTGCATATGTCTACCTATCCATTGCCTCAGATTGCATCCAGCCCCGAACTTGAGCTCAAAGTCGCGTCGCCAGTGGGTCCGACATGTACTATCAAACCTCTTCTTCTCCTTCATCAGGCGTCCTACGCTGCGGAGGTCTTCCGCTCTTGCCGCTCCCAACGGCCAATCAACACCCGGGCCCAGATAAATGCGTCTTGCGTGCACTTGAAGGCATGGCGGTACTCGCCACTCGACTCACTGCGGCATGTAGTATCGGCACTCGGCTTACATAAACGCGTCTGATGGTCTGATCGATACTGCACTTTCCTGGCTAAGCACTTTGCGCGCCTTGTGTCATCAAGTGCTCCTCCATGGGTCCGCCTGGCACAAAAATACTGGCGTTAATGTGACGGAAGATGTCGCTCCACTCTGGACTACTCTCAGCGTGGTATCGTCTTCCAATTTTTCATGGTGCTTATTGTAACAACAAGTATTCAACTTCGTGGCCAATTGTTGCAAGACTGAGAGCGTCGAAAACTACTTTTGGTGAACGTGCTCGACCTTCACACGCGGACACAGCCCGGTAGAAAGGATTTGAGTTGGCTCTTATTTACAATTGGTCACTTCAGATTATCTGCATGACTTGACCCAGGATTATGTGGGCTGGACATTTCTCTCGACTACCGGTGCCCGCGGTCAACATACCGTCCGGCTTGCAATATGTCGGCAGCAACATCCCGCACATCTTCCAAATCCCTCTCCGACCCATCTTGAGTGCGTTGGCTCAAAAGACTATCCATCAAGGCAGCATTCTCAGGCTCGTCTTCAAGTTCAGAGTCCGAATCGGACTCCGCAACTGTCGATGTAGCAACAGCGTTATGGGTGAATTGGCTCAATCTGGTTCAAGTTTGAATCTGGCTGGAAGAATCAGCGGAAAATATTCACCGTTGGTGATGGCGGTCTCCTTCGATGCTCTCGGTGTCTGGGTTCTGAACCATCAAGGGCCCATTGACACGTTGTGTGGCCGCCTGAGCCATTGTAAGCTGAAGGCAATGGACAGCAGTGTACGCTGAATACTAACCCCTGAACTCGGATGTACCTCCAAAAAGGGTGTAATGGTCGTACCATGTGGGAATAGGATGGGTCCCTCCTTCACCCGCTACAAGATCAAGAATATCAAGTGGTTGCCCCGCGCGCAGACAGCGACACAAACTACTAACCATGTTTTGAAGTTTCTCCCTGTCGTTTGAAATGAGTGTCTGGCGGCGGAAAATTGGATATGCAGATGCTAACTTGAGACGATCAACTTTGGCCTGAGATCCATTGGTATTGGCAGCCTGAGAGGTCAATGCCGTTGATGGGCTCGGGGTCCTTGAATAATTCCCAACGGAGAAATTACAAAAATCGTACCCATCGTGATGAACGACACCACCTGCTCTCACAGCTGACTCATAAGAGGGCGGTCTTCCTTCTCGTTTCCGTTCCGAAGTAGTCTGGGGACTCGAACATTACTAGTACTTTGAAAGAGCTCGGAGGGAAAAAGATACATGCCTCGATGGCTGCCGCCAGTCGATGAGACTCAGTACTCCACTTCGAGGCGAGTTTGCGTGTCTCGATGCTAAGGTCCCCTGCTGCGAGTCTTCAATGATCTTCTGACAAATCTCATCGCGTTGGGCGGCATTTCTGTTGTGGTATCGGTAAACGTATTTGGGACATATTTTACGACTTTCTGGCGCATTGTGTGTATGGTAGTATGGAGTTCCGTCTGATCCCAGTATTCTCTTGTCTCTTGAACGTTGTCGAGGCTCTTGTCCATCACTTTCAGTGTTTTTAATGCTGTGGTTGCAGGCGAACGTATGAAAGCTAGCGCCATGGTGGGGGTAGGAGAAGAGATCGAGGCCCCCGTGACGACACCATGCTGAGCTCTAAGTTTGCACTAACATGAGGTTCGAACCAAGTAGTAAGATGCAAGTAAGTTTGGAACTGTCCTCTGATAGGGCCGGCTTGGGGCCGGCCAGACGGCCATCAAAATAGGACACCTTGCCTCATGTCAATGACATGGAGGTAAATGTCTGCGCCGCGCGATTACCACCTATTGGAGCGCTCGACCCACGAGCTGTACTGGTTCGACCGTCGCGACTTCTTGGAGGCCGCAGGATATCGCCTCAGACCTAAATTTCATCCGCATTTTATTCCGGATGTTGGTCGTCGCGCGTTGGAAGACTATGAAGCCACTCATTTTGTGCGTCTTCGAATTGCTACATGACTTTCTCTCCGCTGACACCCCCATAGAAGCGGACCTTAATGGATGCACACCGGATGTCAGACAACAAGCCTGTTATGCTTAAAATCGTGTCCACGAGTGTCCACCCTCACGAAGTTGAAATTGCCAACCTCTTCTCATCTCCCGAACATGCCAAAGATCCTAGAAACCACTGCGTACCTATTCTGGAAGCTCTTCAAGATCCTGAGGACCCCGACAAGCGTATCCTGGTCATGCCTCGATTCATTGGCTTCTGTGAACCCAAATTCGACACGGTCGGGGAAGTGATCCATTGCTTCAGGCAAATATTTGAGGTTTGTGACTCTTCTTGCTTTTCGGCCACCACTGACTTATCATAGGCCTTTGAATTCATGCACGAGAACTTCGTTGCTCATCGGTATCTGCGTAAAACTCTCCGCTGACACTATCTAACACAACCCGTTTGTTTCTGTGTGTAGGGACTGCAGCCGACTCAACATCGTTCAAGACCCTTCCCGTCTCTTCCCTTCCGGGTATCACCCTGTGCATACCTGGCAGTCTGCCACGTCCGATTGGCCTGCTCGTTATATCACCCGCACGGAATGCTGGCCACGTTATTTCGTGATCGACTTCGGTCTCTCGAGACAATATGATCCCTCAGACGGGCCGCCGCTCGAATATGTCATCATGGGAGGCGATAGGTCGCCTCCGGAATTCAGAACCCACCAATTGTGCAATCCATTTCCGACCGATATATATTGCTTGGGCAACCTTTTGAGGAAATACTTCCTCTTCTCTCAGAAAGAGAAACTCCAAGTGTGTGTCTCGCTTTCCACAAGTTTGGTCACTTAGATTCTCCAGGGTATAATCCGCCCATCTCTGAGTTTCTTGGAGCCCCTGGTCACTGAAATGACATCGCTGGATCCCTCGATGCGACCTACCATTGGGGAGGTATGCGAGCGCTTTGACAAACTGTGCAGTGGCTTGACCTGGTCGCAATTACGTCAGCCAGGCCAACGGCATTCATTCCGTTTTTACCAGCGCGTACGCCAGGTCTGGCGGACAATATTTTTTGTCCGTCCGATTCCGCGGTACACTCCTCGAGCGGATCGACCACGATTGAGCAAGGAGTTGCGTGATTTTTACACGCAGATACCGCTGGACAAGGGTGATTTTCTCTGGCCAGAATCTGAAAAGAGTAGTGCTTCCTAGCTCAGAAGCGGTTGTGTTGTCTGATATTCGAGTTGCCTATACACAGATAGTAGAAGGCGTTACTATCAGTCATGAGTAAGACTATTTAGAACGACAACATGTAAGTAGCGACAATTATACACATAACGAAGGACTATCAGACACCTTGCATTGCCAGTGATGTCGTCAGCCGCCGCAATAATGGGACCCACAGACCCTTGTTCCACGACAGACGGGAGGTGTTTGCTTGTGTGCTTGTAACACCAACAGCCGACGCTGTCAGTTGAGAGCCAAGGTCCAAGAGGCAGTCGGGCCACGGCTCAAAGCTAGGTTCAAGTTTGCCATTTGGTTCTGAATCGTGGATGACTGCTTTCCAGCTCGGTGTGGCGCATCCGTAATGAAAGAATGCACAGACTCAGAGCCGCGACGAGACGAGTCGAAAAATCCCTGGAACAAGCATACCATGTACCTGTCTACCTGCGATTATGTAACCTCAGGCTCAATGTTACATCAGCCGTCCAACCACCCCCCTCATAGGCTGATTTTTACAGTCTGACTCGGGAGACAAGGCTCAATGTCGGCATCAGCCGACGAGGATGGAACGAGGAGCAAGCTGAAACGGGTGGCCAGGGCCTGCGATATGTGTCGACGCAAGAAACGTCGTTGTGCGTAATAACTGAGACTGTTTATTCTGACATTCATCGAACTAGGTAGCGGTGGCGATCCTTGTGGACATTGCAAGAAGCACGACTTTGTTTGCACCTATCTTGACCAGCCATTCGATGGTCAGCAAGATCCGCGACCCTCCGCTGCCTACGTTGCTGCACTCGAAGCCCGTCTCGAGACCGTAGAGGACTTGCTGCGCCAAGCAAGGGCTGCGAAAAGTCCGGGTGTCCAACTCATCAACAACGCCATCCAACGACTCAATAATCCGTTTCCGGAGCCACATTCCGATGATTTAGCATTCACGCAAATCGAAGCAAGCTTTAAAGCACTTTCTATCAACCACCCCGCAGCCCAGGGCTTCCAGGGCAAGTCGAGCGGGGGAATGCTTGTCAAAGCTGCCGTAGATCTTTGGAAGAAAGATGGCACGTTACCCTCGAGCAGTCCGGAGTTTGATAAAAGGGTGCGTTGATTCTTTTTCCCTGCTACTACAAGCTAACAGAGAATAGTGGGAGAACACTCCAGACACCCCTCCAAACTCGAGGGTGGGGAGACCTTGCCCCAGCCAGCTCCTTCCCGGACGAAGATCTGCTGGAAACCCTCATTGCTCTTTACTTCGACAATGTCAATGCCTTTCTCCCACTCTTGCACCGACCCACTTTTCAAGCGGAGGTCACACAAAAACTCCATTTGCGACATGGCGGGTTCGCCAAGACCGTTCTTCTCGTTTGCGCTGTTGCAGCACGATACTCGACGGACCCTCGGGTATCCTTGACCAATGTGGATGTTTCTCCAGCTGAGACTGCTGGTTGGAAATGGTTTGACCAAGTCCAACTTACGGGACATTTGGTCCACAAGACCCCTACCTTGCACGATTTACAGTGTTATTGCGTGCGTAGACTTGGTCTCTTCTTCACGCGGGCTGACGGTCGGCCAGCTAGCAGCCGAATTTCTGGACTGTACATCAACTCCGCGCGTAACCTGGACATTGGTTGGGTTTGGGGTCAGACTCAGCCAAGACATGGGGGCTCATAGGTACAAGAAGCACGAACGCCGGCATCAATTCGAACAAGAGTTGGAAAAGCGGGCATCGTGGATCTTGTTTTTGTTCGAGTCCCAAATTAGCACCGCGCTTGGGAGAACATTTGCATTGCAATCCCACGAGTAAGCGATTCTTCGATCATCTTCATTGTAAATGGTTCAACTCCCACTAGTTTTGATATCCAGCTACCTATCCTGTGCGACGATGAATATTGGGGTAGCGCAGACGATTCTTCGGTTCCATTGTTTCGCCAGCCAACGCAACAGCCATCGCGCATTGACTATTTCGTGTTCATGCTGCAGCTTAATCGAATACTGTCCTTCAGCTGCAAGATTCTGGTCGTCTTTCCACCCTCTTGTTCTCTTCTGCCGCTGACGCTGTCGCTAGTACTCATCAAATCGAAGCAAATCTCTCATCGGACTTGGGGATGACCAATGGGAAGAACAAGTCGTCGTCGAACTTGACTCAGCCCTCAATAGGTGGTTCGAAGCACTTCCACCACACCGTATGTTGCCCCAACTTGAAGTTGCAAATTGAAGTAATCTGACATCTAACTAAGTCCAGTGGAACCCCGATAGCCTCCTTGAAGACGACATCTTCTTCGACCAGTCGGCAGCCTTGCATTGCAGTTACTATCACACACGGATCGTTATTCATCGGCCGTTCATACCTGCGATGCGACGAGAATCCAATCCTGCTGTTTGCAACCACTTGTTCGACTTTTACTATTTCCTTTTTAACCTACTTTACAGCATCTCCCTTCGCTCGCTCTCTGTAATACTGCAGCGCGAGCGTGCAGTCATGTGGCGGAGATTCAACAGAAACGTCGTCCCAACAACCCGATCTGGTTCAGCCAGGTCAAGACAACAAACTGATGTTCCGCGCAATGCTGACTTTTTTGCCAGACACCTTTGTTTACCGCAGGAATCGTCTTGCTTCTGAATATCTGGGGGTGGTGGCCGATCGAAAGCTGCTGAAACAGACATGGCCGATGTAACGCTCCAGTCTTTTTTTTCGTTAGTTGGCCTTGACATTGATGTATGGTAGCCATTACATTGCGTGCGGATATAGTAGATCTGGGACTCTATCTCTCCGTCGTTGGAATCACCAACGTTCTGAGAGATTAGTCAATCAAGGGAGAAAATAGTGCTGTTGAAAATAACTGCACACATGATCTGGAGCGTTATTTACTTACCGGATTGCGGTGATTTCCGATTAGTGACGGAAACTTGACAAAATCAGTCTATATCGTAGTCAAGGACAGCCTGAGGACTACTCAACTGGTTTCGCAGACCGGATTCTCATTGAAGTTGCCTGAATATAATGGTTTCCGCTCAGCGCTAGCAATCGGGTTTGATGCCAGACAATTCAGTGTTCATGACCCCAGAGCGGGTTTGCGACCGAGTTTTCTGTACATCATTATGGTCAGTCAGTGTGGTTCGTCAAAAACTCACGAGACTGACTACAAGTTATGCGCCTCGGCGTCTTGATCAGTTGGAAACTCGACGTAGGACCCATCCTGACTCGGACATTCAGTGACCATCGCCAGACCGCGTGCTCGTGTTTGTTGAACCGAAGGCTGGAATGAGAGAGACCTTATGTCGTGACGATTTTGCGGTGCCCTCCGAACGGTACTTCGATGATAACCCAAAGCCCACGCTAGCCGTTCTTGAGAATACTTACTGCACTTCACATGCCAGCCTTCGAGCGATTGCGCGGTCAGTCTGGGCCAAGACACAATTTTTAGCGCCAAGTCTGGCGGTTCTGGAGTCCTATGAGCAGCCATCGTTGAGATCCACAGAAGACAGGTGCAGTTTGACTTGGATTTTGGGGACGTAGCTCGGTTGCTTATGTGATTGGCTACAACGCGTGTATAATCCGCCATCAATGCTCGAAATTGTTGGACGGATAGTCGGCCGTGGTGAAAAAGTTGCGAGAATGAGCTGGTGGGTCCTTAGGCTGGGCCGCTGTATGCAGCTGGCACCAGCTGAGATCGAAGGAGAAGGACGCGTGCTGTCACACATTTACATTTACATGCTGTCACAATTGCTGTCCCACATTTCTCTCGCCATTCCGGACAGCAACCACATAAGGTCTCAGGCGCATACGCCGAGCCTCTCACCGACCGCAACAGCCCCAGCCCCAACAAGTTCGGGCTTCTCCTGCGCCAGCAGTTGAGTGTTGAGTTGCCAGTCCAGTCCGTCTCCGCTGTCTGACCAACTTGAATAATGCTTTAGGAATATCCTCTATCTCTCCCTTTAGCAAATCGATGGGGTGGCTCGACAAGCATCCCAACTGAAAAACGCCCAACGCCCCGCCAAGTTTATCCCTAATCCTTGCGGCCCGACCCCCCACACAGCCAAGAACACATATCGATCCTAGATGTCTTCACCCCTTCCCAGCAGCCATCCAACAAATTTCTCCCCTTCAGACGTGTTCCTCCATGTGGATGAATAGAACAGCACACTTATCGGCACGAATGAGGGCTGGCAAACCAATATCCTCAAGCGGCGCAGGAAACACGGCTGTTCGTGTCCATGCTGTAGCCGATTCCGACTCCGATGGACGGTGGGAAGAAAAATACCCACTTCGACTGCATTCCATGCCGGTACGTCCTTGCTGTCTGGGATAACATGTGGCTTGAATGGCTCCAGAATTACGAAGAAAACCAAAATGACTCTTTCTCGAGACGAATCATCGAGTAAGTTATTACCTCTATCTGGCATCTCGCTGATGAAGAAGCGGCAGCCTAAATACCTCAAGTTTTGTGAAGATACTGGATTCATATCGATGCTACCAAGTGACGCTGCCCAGCGCCGGGAGGCCGCAAAGATGAAACAAATGACGCTGGATGGTGTAGCTGTTGAGGACTCAACATGGCGCCATCGCTCTCTGTCATCTTAGCAACAATTCAGCAACGATAGACTTGTTCAGCTGGCGCTACGTGCGTGATCTGTTTCCCAAAACTCATCTGGCTGACGCCGCAAAGCCAATCGATGCTTTCGAAAAGGAAACACTCGTCGATATGATGGAGATGGCTGCTCGAGCACCGGATGGCAGGATCAAGTTACGGGACGCACGATTGACACACCAGCATATCCTCGACAATTCGCTCAATATATCCGACACCACCCGCAAGGAACTAGCGGTAGATTTCCGTTGATTCCAATCAACATTGGCTCACTTACTGCAACAAAATGTACCAGCCTTGTTTGTGTCTCTCGACTGCGATTCCTGGAGTGCCCGGAATGGCGACAGCTTCAATGCCCACTTCAAAATAGTAGCTCGAGCACATGCGATCTGCATCGAGTTGGTCAAATCGCTGTTGCAGTCATCTATCGGCATTATATCAGTCTTAGATATACGAAACATGGAACTGGCACCGAACTCAATGGATTTAGAATGTGGGTGCAAGGGTTTTGTCAAGCTTGATGACGAGGTACGTTTCCAGTTGACGCCGTCTGCATATGCTCAAACACGATCCAAGCTCTTGCAACGATGACAATCGTTGTGGTTGTCCATCATAATTCACTCGCTTTGCCCCACTTGTATCCATGCCTGCGCGGACTTGCCGTTGGACTACTCAACTGAGTGCCATGTCGTGTCTTTGAAGTTGGCATGACGGACTCTTTTCGCGGAGGCTTGAGTTGCATGCGAGGCGATGTTCGGGCTAGCTTTGGTGCAGGCGCTGGTGTATAAGGAACAGACTGTGCCACGATGGGCATGACAATGGTGCGTGTCGAGTATTTTCTGCCTCCTTCTTGCTAATTGTCTGAAAGCCAGCTACTGGGCTCAATTCAACGAGCTACCTGGTCAAATCCAGGGAGCGTGTCGACGAAGATGTAGGAATGGTGCTAGAAGTGGTGGAGCCATCGCGAGCGTGTGTCCTGCTGCACTTGCCTCCAGTCTCTTGCAGTTTACGTGCCGCAAAGACATGAGCAACGGGAAAGAAGGAAATACGGTCAATACCGGGTCTGAGGTATGTTTTTTGTTTCGTCTACTCTCTTCCCCCGTTTGACCCAATCGTCGCAGTCGATTGTGAAGAAAAAACCGATAATGAAGACGGGATGCAGTTTTCGCTCGAGTTGTGAGTCCTTTTTCTTTCCCGCAATCCGTTGGTGGCTCATATCGGTTGGAAGTTTGAAGCTTCCGCCAATGCACCACACCAACACGCATAAGAGGAGCCAGGAATCATTTTCAGGCGCTCATCTCCTCTTGACTATCCCCACACCAGCCTGAAAGCTGGCTCGATACTGGTGTTGTTGGTAGCCAAAAGAGAAGAAAAAATAAATTCCCAAAAAGGAAAGAGAAAAAAAGAGAAAAAGAGAGCTTACCTAGGGATTGCATATGTCCTACCATACATCACAGATCTGCTATACAATAATGAAAATTTGCTGTTCCAAATGTCTATAATTTTTTTTCTGGCGCCTGCTGCGCGCCAGAACCCGCCACCTGAGATACTGTCGGCTAAATTTCCTTTTTAGTATTTTCTCTCCGGGTGTGAGCATTCACCGGCCCCGGTTCTCGTGACTGATTCAGATACTGGATCCAAAAAAGGTTTATTTTTGTTACTGATTGTCAGTGTCACATCACGGCAAGCCCGCCGTGATGTGTTCCCAGTGATTGTCAACTTATACAAACAAATGGACAGCTCTCCCATATTGTCTATACATATATGTTAACCAGTAGAAGTCCCAATACACATCCAAAGTTGGAGTGTCTTCACCCTTTCTATATTTCCAGCTATAATTAACACCAGTATAGAATCAAAGAAATAAATTCATCTTTTCCCAAGTTTTATTTCCTTGTGGATCAGTCCATAGGCCTTTCTACCTTATATATGCACAAATAACAGCAGTAATATCCAATGAACTATTCCTGCATAAATCTGCATTTTTATCTGGAGAACCCAGCTCATGAACTGTAATTTTCGATGAAATTCTTAAATTACTTGATAATTATAGCATGAAAAAATGCCAAACTTGGAGAATTTTGAGGTGTCATGCATATCTGACCACCTATAAATTTTCAGCTGAATCCATCATCATTCTAGTGCACAGTAGCACAATGGAGATTTTGTATCACATGGTTGACCCAAATAGGTAATATGATGACTAATTTCCAGTATCCGCAGTATCTACCAGCAACACCAGTATCTAGCCTGAAAGCTCTCCGACAACCATCTTTTCCCTTCACGTCACCCTTCACGTCAGACGATGTCAGTCAGCAGCCACATAAACTGGACGTTCATTTCCAGCTTCGCCCTCATCGCATCTGCACCGTCTTCTCGAAAGGACCACCGCAGTGCCTCTCGCGCTGCCATTTGGACTCTCCATCCCCCTTCGTCAACGCTGTTTGCACATCCACCTGCCACGTCATTTTCAAGCACCATCGGCATGTCTCCGTGTCGCCATACATCCTGCCCGCCAAGTCCTAATCCGACAGCTTCCAAGTACTGCGCCAGCAGTCCTTCACCTCTACTCGCAACGTGCTGTACCCGGGCCTTCCACCTACGCCTGTCTCAAAAGGGAAAGTCACGTGCATCTTGCCCACCAAAAAAAGACCTGGTATGGCGGGGGAAACAGAGAATATCGCGCTATCGACCGCATCTCATTATCCCCCGTCCCGTTTTCGAGCTACCTAATACTTTTGGCCCTGCTATTCGACGCGGAAGGCAGTTGTTGCATCCGTTTGTGGTGAAGACTACCTGGACGGCATGGGCGACGGTTGTGGGACGGAGTGCGAGATATGGGCTGGCGTTGGCGGCTCTCCCGACTCTATTGATGACGGGGATCGTGTGGAGCCTCTCCGAAGACGGTCTACTTGGTGTTTGCTCTATGTATGTGTTAACTACCGAGGCCTCTCGCCTCAATCGTTGCTAAAAATACTACCAGTAGCCGGCTAGACTGGCATGGCCCGCCTCCTTCATCGGGTCTGTCACGGGCTCTGGCACCGTTGTCATGGCTCACGCGGCGTCGTTGTCGTTTGTTGTTGTCATTGCTGGCTGGGATATGCATATGCTCACCGGGTAATTGTAACGGTCAGCCGGATAATTCTTGGATAACTGTCTCATTAACTCTACTTCAATAGGTTCTTCTTGTCATTATCATACCATTCGGAACGAGGTCTGTTCCTTACACTACGGACATTGATGCATTTTCCGCCCCAGAAAATGCACAGAAAATTTGAAATTTTCTGAAGATCTTCTGAAGATTTTCCGAGGATTTTCTGTCACGGAAAATTTGGAATTTTCCATCAATCTTCTGAGAATCTTCTGAAAATTTTCCGGATCAGAAGATTCCCAATTTTCTGCCACGGAAAATTTTCAGAAAATGTAGCACTCGGATCTGTGATCCGGCCGATAACATTTTTTCTGGCATGTAAATTAGCTATCAAGGCAATCAGTCGGCATACTTAATCAACTCTAATCCTCCATTTGCCACAATTACATTAATATATTTGTATATTAGCGGTCTACATACACCCAGCGTACGACTAAAGAACTAAAGAAAAGCAGGACTACGCACTGCAACCACCGGAATCCACACCCACCATTCATCACCCAGCCATCCGTGCTCACGGACCCTCCCTCCCTTCACATTGCAGCCCGGCCGGGCGCGGCCATTCTTCCGCCGTCGTCAGTGGGTCCGGGACATTCTCGGCGAAGCGCAGAAGGTGTTTGCATGCGGGGGGTTTGGAGCGGAGTGTGGTGGTAGGTCTTGAGGCGGGCTGAGGACAAGTCAGGGTGTATTCCCTTCAGTAGTCAGTGACGCACCTATCATCTGTCCAAACCCGCGCTGCCATTCCCATCTCGCCGCAGCATCGTCACCGAGCGCAGAAACTACGCCGTTGATGGAGAGAGTTGAAGTCATGCTCAAGCGGCCAGCGCTTCTGTATTGCTATGCGAAGAAGGCGTTCATGGGGTAGTTCGGGCCGTAAGTAGTTGCAGAGCGCAGTCCGAATTGCGGGGAAGAGTGGTGATGTCGGAGAGAGGGTGTTAAGTTGGTACAACAGGCCTTGTAGCTCGGCGGAATGTATTGACGGAATGGGGTCATCGCACAGAGGGAACACACATCAGTCTCTTGTCTTGAACGAGGAAAGGAGACCTACTAAGGATTCATTGGCACATCGAAAGCGCTTGTGTCTGGAGGCAGCACCAGCCAACTGGGCTCAGGCACCAGCGGCTCATTGAGTGCAGCTGCTCCCGAAGTCAGCGAGAGAGTAAGACAGACGAGAAACAACACACCTTCCGCCATGTAAACGAGCTCTGGGGGTAACATTCCCGGCACCTTGTCGAATTGAGCATCCAGATGAGAAGGTGGTTGATAGAGCGCTGGCGCCACCATGTGCCGGTGCATGTCCATGAATGGGAAGGAGTCTTTATCGCTCCCCTTGGCGAAGGACGTGTAAACCGGAAGGCTGCCTACCTTGAGCACATGGCCAATCGAGCGGGCCGCATTGGCACATATGGCCATCGAAGGGAACGAAGTCTGTCTTCCGTTTGAGCTCAGAATATGGAAGATGCAAGTGACGCACGTTAACTGAGGACTGCTTGCCCGGTCCAGCCACAAACGGTCGATGAATCAGAATTTGACCTGTTTATAGTCAATACGACGCGCTAAGACATAGTAGGGACTTGCAGTGGTAGTAGGTCGCATATCTTGGAGTAAGGTCAAGTATACTGTAGCGGGGAAGGGGAAGCACAAACAGCAAAGCTGACTGGTCCAAGAACACCTACGAAATGTAAGTGCGCAAAATGGCCAGACTCGAGATTGTCACCTGATTCTCTTGCTGTGGATTCCACCTCACTACGACTAAGAGTCGATTCCGGAACATAGCGAGTAAAGTAACTTACAATGGGCCGGAATCCCGTCAATCCATTCGTTGACCGCCGAACTACCAAGATGTTAGACCAGTGCTGTCAAGGGTAACCCGATACATACTCCAAAGCAACTATATCATTGTGGCTTGGTTCGTGCCGGTCCAGCAGGTACTCAAGAAGTTAGAAGGCTATTTGCGAAATGATAGTAACAACACACTACTCGAGCTTGAATCTTGGTATAGAGGTCGATCAATCTAAAATACGGCGCAAAAACGCATGAATCGATGGCTGGGCAAGCGGAAAATTATGTTGCTGTGCTTCAAGGGCTGCAGATTCAGCCAACGGTAAGCTCCAGTACTCATCGTCGAGCGAAATCAGGAGTGGGGCAGTAAATCTTTTGTTCTTGATGAGAAATAGAAAGCAAGAGAAGGGTTGGCATACGTGCGGATAGTGGACACCTGGCCCTTGAATGTCGACATCAACGTTTCCCAAAGAACGAGGGTCCAGAAGGCGCACTTGTAGAGCTCGACATCAACCGGTTCCAGGTTTGTCTTGTGATACCACGCTTCATGTTGCCCTCCGACCGCTTGGAGAAATCGAAGGCCGACACCAACGTGGAACCAGCATTCGTCAGGCGTTGAAGAGGCACAGAAGTAGAAGACACCAAGCTGTAACCAGTAAGCTGAGTATAACTGGAAAACATAGTCGCACTATAGTCTTTGAAGTTGCAACAACGACTTCGTCGAGTCAAGAGACGCGCTCATTGGCCGAATCTGTGCAAACCACTTCCAACCCGCTGTGTTCCGAGTCTCGCGGCGCCTCATCCAGAAAAACACGCGGGTCGTCGCTGTACTTGCTGGCGACAGCACAGACACCAAGAACCACCTCACCAAATGCCCGCTCTGTCAAATGCCGATTTGATTCGAGTGACCCTTCGAACGAGATGCGATGAAGGACGCCCATGATAGGATTGATTTGTTCAAAGTAGATGTGGACCAGGGTTTCGAGCAGATCAGGGTCGGGAAACTCCAGCGGTGGATACATGACGGTGAATCTTTCCCACTGCATACCCATTAACGAAATACGGGACAAGAAGGACAATGCGCACTAAAGGTGGGGTCCAGAACTCGGCTTGTTGCACCCCCAAGATGTAAACTTGGCCGTGGTGGATATGCTTGATGGCCGCTTGCTGAAATTTGAAGTGCTAGACGTTCCATAGTCTCTGTCGTTCTTCTTGTAGTCGGTGTAAGGGTCGAAGACGTCGCTGACGCAACCAGCAACAAGCGGGTTGTGGTACTCGACGACCATGCCTGTGGGAGGAGGAGGGTCCGGTGTTTTAGGGTCGGGCTGGCTTCGTAGCTTGGTTTCGGCCTCTGCTAACTTTTCTTCCAGGTAGCGCGTGTAATGACAGACCTCCAGAAGCATATGGTTGGATGTCGTCCAGGTCGTGCGTCTTTGTTCGCCGTCGTCATTCCCCCGCTGAACTCCTTTCGCCTCCAGTGCTTGTCTGGAAGTGATATTTCCCCCCGTTGCTGCATGTCTCTTGACCGTTGTGTTCTCGCGGCTGACCTTCATCGACAGGCTTCGCTCGGTCTAGTAGCGCACACGAGTTCTCGTTAGCCGCGAGCGGCCTGCGGTTTGTCATTGTCGTTCAAGAGCCTGCAGGCCGGCACAGGCAGCAGTGTTGAGGTTGGTCCTGGTTGGAAGCCCAGCCGTCGTCGTCGTTTCGAAGAAGTGATGGCCATACGCGTGTGGCTGTGGACCGGCCAACGGAGCCAAATCGGGAACCCGGCCCGTCACCCACTTCGACCGTCTTCACCGACTCTCATGTCGCTGCACGATCTCGCTGTTGCGGAAGGCGAGGGCGTGGTGCTTGACAGTCCTTTTACAACTGGTACTGTAGCTGCAAGAGAAGGTGAGTGATGGCTACAAATGTAGCTGTCTCTGACAGCTCTACAGTTACTTGCAAACACGACTAGCTCGTGTCTTGTGATCTCGGACATGCGTTGACTCAAGCGATGACGAGCAGGCCGCAAGCGCCACTGGCGGAGGCCAAGTCTGCTTGCGACAGAAACATGTATGTGACAGTACTAGTGTTACGACAGTGTTACACTGTTTCAAAACACTGATTATATAATCATAGTCGGCCGTCGCTTGATCTGGTGGGACATGAGAGTGATTAACAAATTTAAAGCATTGACTGAGGATATTGACTTGGGAAGGTGGGATGTCGACTGCACGGCCACATAAGCAAGTGAAGAAAGATGGTGAACTCTCAGTCTTGCCCAGGGAAAAGAAGGAAAGTCGTACATGTCGTAAGACTCCGAATGGTCTTTTATAGTGGTCACTTTAGGGAAATATTCCCCCCTGCCATATATGTGTACATTTTTCGCGTTTAGCACGATTTTTCCTGTATTTCTCGGTGGATTTGACTGTAACTGACCATGATAATATAAAATTATATGTGTTACTTCTATAAGGCATTTCCAATTTAAAAAAAGTTACATGCTTGGACTTATGTGGCATTTATTAATGATTGCCTTTTTTGGTTAAACTTTAAAAGCCATTAGAAAAGAAACAATAGTCACTGTATTCTATATTTTTGTTTAGCTGTAACAGATCATGACAGTATATAATAATTTGCACAGGCCACTGTCTACAGACTACAGTTCCAGGGTTTAATAACTACTATTGACTTGTCTAGTAATCTTGAAATTGGAGGCATTTCTGTATCAATTCCAGAGATATCCAGGCTACTTACTGTCAATTGAACCTAATTAAGCAGGCAGTAAGCCAAGGCTCAGTATCTGCCTTAGACAAACCCAAATTTGGGTCAATCCATTGTCAATAGTCTTGGTGATATGTAAATGAGGTTTGGCTGGGGATGCTATAATAGCCCATTGGGCCCTGGGGTGATGGACCAGTTCAGCCACTGGTGTTATGCAGAAAAGTCGTGCCATGTTGCGGAAAAGTCGCACTGTTAAAATAAATATGTCGCTGAGTCAGCCCGAGTGGCCCCGCGCTTTTTCTGCTAATGGTGTAACAAAATTTATTGCGCTACCTAAATTATGCAGAAAAATCGTGCAAAACACGAAATTTGTGATGATATGTGGTGGGGAATATTTCCCCAAAGTGACCACTATAGGTCTTTAGGGCAGGCTCATGTTGAAAGTGATGACACTTTTTGAAACAAATAACAGTTGTGTTGGTTGTGTGGCAGGAAGAGCAGACATGAGCTTGCCACTGGCATTCCTTGACAAGTTTCATGAGTGCCTTGTAGGTTGGGAATCTCGGGATGGGCGAAGAGCTAGTTGACAAGCCCAGCACAAGCGGACACTCTTGCCAATTAGAGGCTTGTAATCAGTGATACATTTGCAAATATAGTCACCAAGGTAGTTGCCGATGGCATGGCCGCATGGGGATTGTTGGTTGTTGAGGATGGAGGTGGAAGAAAGGGTGCAAGGGAGCAGATGGGGAGAAGAAGAGTATGAAGAAGAGTATATTTTTCTACTGCCATTACAGAGGTTTATATAGTGTGTGTATTTGTCCTGGCAATTTCTAGTAAGACTGAGGAAGATGAATAATTAGAAATGGAAAGAAGCTCGGGGAACACCAGAGCTCCAGGCTTGGTAAGCGCTGGCCGGTGATTATTCCCAAAATGATATCACATAGTTAGATTATGACTAGTAGGAGCTAAATTGCCCGTTAAACTGGATCTGCCATGTATTATTACAATGCATTGCATATAACTTCAAATTTTAGAATGTTATAATAATCAGATAAAATTAATACCTGTGGACATATAATTAAGAGCCTAAATAATATTAGATAGTTAAATTATGAGTATTAGAAGGTAAAATGCTGTTGAAACTGGATCTACCACCTATTGTTATTGATATATTACATATAACTCCAGCTTCCAAAAAAGGAAATTTTCAATAAGGTAGAAAGATATTCATATGATTAGACTATAATGATATTACAACTGGATCCACCATCTACCATTATGATATTATACACCTTTTACTTCCTAAAAAAGAGATTTTATGAAAAAGGAATTTTTTGGAGAAAAAAATGTTTAGTTAATATAGAAAATAAAATGAAATAATAGGTATAACCTATAAAACTAGTCCCATCTTCCTCTATTGAGTCCCCAGCCTAGAACCAATAAATCTCTATGTTCAATACCATAAGTCCCTTTAGGCCGTTTTAATACTGTAAGATGAGTCAAAATATGTTGTGGCTCAATAATACAATATTCCTCAGAAGGAGAGGCATCTACAGTTGCGAACAATCAAAGCTGACAACTCTTTAAAACTTTAATTGTGGCCCAGCTATTACTGCTATAAGAAATCTGAGTTCAGATTCAGGGAAAACCCCTATATACTATTTTTACGTAATTTTCCCACGTCATATAAGGGGTGTCGAATATTTTGGATCTGCGGACCGAAACTTATATATACCTTTTCACCTCAAAAATGGTTTTCATAGCCAAAAAAAAAAACAACTAAGTATAAAACTAAGTATGTACTCCTGCCTTTTCCAGCTGTGCCAAAATTGTACTATTACATGCTCTGTGAGACCTCTGCTTCTTAACTGCCCATGCTGCTGCTTTCTCTGTTAATCCTAAACGGTATGCACTCATAAATTTCCAAGAGCGCTGAATAAAGCGACGGATGACATCTGTAGGACATCCATCCAGATACTCAAGTGCCTGTTCTTTAGCTTCCTCAAAAGTCTTTTTAGGATGCTCCCTATAGCGGTATTCACACCATCCCCAATTCATTTCAATTGGATTCAGTTCACAGTGGAACTTGGGTAGAAAGATGCACAAATGTCCCCTGCCGGTAATTAATGTCTCCAGCATTGTACAATCTTTGCCAGAAGCTCAGGGCAGCTGGTAAATGCTGTATTTGCAGTAAGCCAAGATGGGATTTATTTATGCTTATGCATAAGAATGAAAGTTTGCATATAGCCCTGCAAAGGCATTTGCCAAATATGCTGAATGTAGCCTGTGAGTTTCTCACTAGGTCTAGTTGGGCTTTTGAACTGGATATTGCTATTGCCTTCATGAGAACGTCTGCAACTGAACACATAATTGTGCATCTTAAATCTTAAAGGGTGTAGAGCTGCTGGGGGTAGAATAAATCTCCTGGCTGATTTGGAGATCCAATTGGTTCAATAGTTGTGAGCTAACGACCACGTCATACCCATGGGCCTCGGGGAGCTCGACGATGAAGTCCACAGTGACGGTGTGCCAATGTTTGGGGGGACTTCGGTCGGATGCAGCTCTCCATGTGGAAGCCTTTGGAGGGCCTTTGTGCGGCAGCATAAGTCGCAGGTCGCGACGTAGCGTCCGATATGGCGAGACATCTGCGGCCACCAGTAGTTGCGCGAAAACCAGCTCTGACGTCTTGAACCGCCTGGCATGTCCGGCGACATGCGTATCGTGGCAGAGCTCTATAATGCGCCTCTTTAGGTCTTTGTCTTTGGGGACTACGACCTTGCTGCGGAAGTATAAGAGGTCGCCCGAGACAGCCCACTCGTCCAAACGCGATGAGCGGGGGGCCCCGAACTTGACCTCAGACCTTCAAGAGTTGCCGGGCCGCAAGTGCGACGGGTTCCTCTAGGTCAGGCTCACCGGATAGTGCTTCCTTAATGTCGCGGACAAGTTCGGAGCCGGGTCCGAAGACAGTGACGGCCTCAAGCGCATGAATGTGGAACAGTTCGGGGCGTAAGAGGGTAACATCCGAGTTGTCTTCAGAGATGCCGTGGTCAGGCCGGGCGGGAGAGAGCATCGGGGCGCCCATCTGGCGACCTGGGACATGGTGCAGCGTGAAGTCAAACCTAGAAAGGTACAACGACCATCGGGCTTGCCAACGATTAAGGTGCCTTCGGAGATGCATCATGCTGACAATTAAGGTGCTGTGCCTTTCGGAAGTACTCCAAATTCTTATGGTCAGTTTAAATCTTGACCGGATGCGCCGATACTCCTCAAGTGCGTGGATGATCGCGAGCATCTCCTTGTCGTGAATCTTGTAGTT